TAGTTCTTCTCACTGCTTTCCTAAAGATCTCACATTAAACATGATTGATGGTTTGGATCTCCTTACTCCTGCTCTGCGCCTCCTTTCATCTCACCTGGCACTTCTGGAGGTAGTTGATGTATTATTTCAGCTTTAGAGATGTTAACGAGCTGCTGCGGTATAAAAAAAATCAACTTGCTATGGTTTCTGTGGTAACACATCATGACCAGTGTCCAAAATGGAAAAAAAAAATCTGTAAAATTCCTTCCAGTTTTACAACATTGAACATCAGAGAAAAAAAAAACATTTGAAAAAATAAATGGAAAGCGAAACGTCTTCAAACCTAGATTGTTTTTTACTTTTATGGACTAACTCAGACCTGGAAGACTGAGAATCTTCATATGAAGAAATAAACTGATCCACAAACTGAGAAACAGAAATCCTCTACAAAGTAATCTGAGCTTCAACATGCAGCCTCCTGAAGCAGTGCAGATGTTCATGGGTGTGTTGGTGTGTGTGTGTGCAGGTTCCCCGTGTGGAGCTGACCCTCTCTGAGCTCCAGGAGATGGCAACCAGACAACAGCAGCAGATAGAGGCCCAGCAGCAGGTGCTGATGGCCAAGGTAAGGTCAGCTTAAAGAACGGCAGCTTAGAGATGATGGAGCCATTTAGAATAAAAAGCTGAGTCCATAGAAATGTCTGGGAGAGAAACAGGACTAAACACTGAAAAACAGGCCTATAACTCCACCACAGAGATCCATCATTTCCTGTCTTAGATAAAGCAGTGCTGGTCCTCCTCCCACTGAAGATGGTCTCCTCAGGATCTGGTCAGGTCCTGGTAGCAGCAGGAGGACTCAGCAGGTTCAGGATCCCATGTTCTTCATTTAGTGGAACATGCCTGAAACCAGGGAGACAGAGAAGCTTTCCGACCGATGGACCAGGCAGGTCGATTCCCTGGAACTCCAGATGTATGCAGGTGCTTTTGGAGTAGAACTCTGGAACATCAGACCAACATCTAATGGTAGAACTGTAGAGCTCCATGTTCTTGTTCCTCTGTTTCTGAGCAAAGCAGTGAGAGTTTATAGAATCTCTGTTGGGGCATGTTCTAGAAAAGTATTTCTATGAAACATGTTGAACAGCTGCATGAGATCATCTGGAGATGCAGAACAGAATGGGAGCTTTAACCGGGCAGAACTTTAGGCTACTACTTCCTCCACATTAGTGTCCTGGATGTCAACATCTGGTCTTCTCTGTGTGGTTCTGCTGTAGGAGCAGAGGCTCAGGTATCTCCAGCAGGGAGGAAGGTCCCACCCAGGACAGACCCAGGTAGGTTTCACATATTGGTCCTTCAGAGCCGCTGGGCTTGGTGCCGCTCTGGTCTCACTATGAATGTTGGTCCTGCTTGCTTCTTATTCTGCAGCCTGAAGCGGAGAAGCTGCAGCAGCTGAAGGAGCGAGTGGAGACACAGGAAGCAAAGCTGAAGAAGATCCGAGCCATGAGAGGCCAGGTGGACTACAGTAAGCTGATCAATGGAAACCTCTGTAAGCCCACACACAACCCATCAACCCGCTGCAGAAGCAGAACATCCTAACCCCTCTCCTGCTTCTGACCCGTCTCCTGCTTCTGACCCGTCTCCTGGTTCTGACCCGTCTCCTGGTTCTGACCCGTCTCCTGGTTCTGCTTGCAGCTGCAGAGATCGACCATGTGAGCAGCTTGTTTCAGGAGAAGCAGGCAGAGCTTCAGTCTGCGGTGATCAGAGTGGACCAGGTGGGATGAAAGGTTCTAGAAGAACTGCACAGAAGGTGGCTTTGACTCTTAGAGAGAGGATTTAGGCTTGGATCAGGGGTGGGCAACTCCAGTCCTAGTGGGCCCTTATCCTGCAACTTTTAGACATGACCTTAAAACACCTGAATCAAATAGATAATTAGAATTAGACTCTTTTGATTCAGGTGTGTTGGACCAAGGATGAATCTAAATGTTGCAGGAAACTGATCCTCAGGGACTGGAGTTGCCACCCCTGGCTTAGATGATACCAACCCAGGCCAGATGCTGTGTCTCTGTCCAGGAAGGAGACACAGCTAAACAGAAACTAAGCAGCTCAGTAAACCAGGATGTCTTTCCAGCCAGTGAGACTGTAGAACACACTAAGTTTCTCCAGATGATCGTTCTAAGGTCTACTTCTCTATATGCTAGCTAACTCAGCAGTTGGAGGACCTGAGGAGGGGACGCCTTCAGCTGCAGTCCGATGCACAGAGGGAGGGAACCCCGACTGGTTCCCCGGGTGGAACCACGGGTCACAGAGGCTCAGCTCTGTCCGGCCCTGCAGCCGTGGAGCTGAGGAAACTCTATCAGGAGCTGCAGGTAAACCCAGCCTAATTAAAACATCTAACCACCTTGAAGAGGTTCTGCTCAGGTGAAACTCTGCTTTCTCGGTTTGTTCTTCAGGCTCGGAATCATCAGAATCTGGAACAGAGCAGCAAACTGGCCCAAAACAAGGAGCTGTTGAACAAAAGGAACGTCCAGGTGACGGTAATGGACCAGCGAATCGGAGATCTCAGGGAGCGGCTTCATAAGAAGAGGGCAGAGGTACACTTCTGGGTTCTTTCCTGGTTCTGATGGTCCGTCTTCAAGCTAAAGTCTGAACGTTTGTCCTGTCCAGCTGTGCCGTTTGAATGGCGCCGGCTCCACCTCTCCTCAGGCCGCCCCACATCCTGGCGGTGGCGTGTCTGGCAGAGTGGCTGCCGTCTGTCCTTACGTCCAGACACCAGCCGAAGGGAGGCAGGACCCTGGATACCCCGCGGCCGCTGACCCGCCCCCCAAACCTGCACCGCTCAACCACATCCGCTCCCTCTCAGGTTTATAGATCCTTTCCTTTCTGTTGGACATGAGAACACCAGAGGACGGTCCTCCTGGGCTCTCATCGTCTTCCTGTCTAGTGGTTCCTGTTCCTCCTCTCTGTTCTCTATGCGCTCTCATTTTTTCATGGTGGTTCCTGATGTGACTCATCATCAGGATGTGCCTGTTGCTCTGGTTGCTGGTCTTGTCCTTTGTGTACGCACAGAGGAGGACAAGATCTGCATCTCAAGGCCTCTGGGTCAGAGCAAGGTGTTGCACTTAGACACCATCCTGTCCGAGGGGCAACGCTGACTGACTGTATCGACTTGAATCGGCTGGAATGCAATCAGCTGCCTCTTTGAACCGACTAGGGTTCAAGGAGACAGAAGCAGACATAGAAAAAGAAGCATAGGTACAAAAGGCAACTGTCAACCAGCTCCACAGGCGGCCCCGTCCAGGAAACACACAGCCAGGCAGACGAGCTCCAAGCCAGCTCCCATGTCAGAGGATGAAGGTTCACAATAGGTCAAGGTCAACTATAGGTTCAGTCCCACTCTAATGAATGAGTCATAGGTCCAGGTCCACTCTAATGAACGAGTCATAGATCCAGGTCCACTCTAATAAACGAGTCATAGATCCAGGTCCACTCTAATGAATGAGTCATAGATCCAAGTCCACTCTAATGAATGAGTAATAGATCCAGGTCCACTCTAAT